CACCAAGAGCTTCACCGTTTCCCTTCTCCAAACTGAGTAGAGTTTCTTCTTCAACGTTGGCTTTTCAGTTGACACCTCTTCAGCAGCATCACTTGTCCTGTTGTACACTTCATCCCAACTGAAATGTCCTGGACCGTGATAACGCCAAAACCTGTTGGTATGCACCACTTTTGGTTTACTTCGCCGACCACATTTTACCCGGGAAGTCACGTCTGAGAGACGATCCACTATGTCATATGGGCCTTCCCATGGACAAGACAACTTAGGAGACTTCTCTTTGGTCTTCCTGGGATTATACAACCATACCTTGTCTCCTGGTACAAAGCTGACTTCAGTAGATCTCTTATCATAAGTTAACTTCATCGAATCAGCAAACGTTTTCAAGTTTGTACGCACCTGATGGTGAATATCATCCATCCTTTCCGATAACACTTTCACAAACTCTGACACATTCTCTGGTAACTCTTCATAAGGTGGGCGTCCTGTTAACAGATCTACTGGCAACCGAAGTTCCCGACCAAACATCAACTTTGCTGGAGTGTATCCAGTGGTTTCATGCTCTGCTGTCCTATATGCCATCAATAGTGGAGGGAGTAAAACATCCCAGTCATCTTCGCGGCTATTACAAAACTTTGCCAATTCCTGTCCCAATGTCCAGTTGTACTTTTCTACCATCCCATCAGACTGTGGGTGAAGTGGCGTTTTCCTGGTCTTTCGGATGCCAAACAGCTTGCAGCATTCTTGGAACACAGCTGATTCAAAGTTACGTCCTTGATCTGAATGCAGTTCATATGACATACCAAATCTAAAGAAGAAATCACTAATAGCCGAAGCTACAGTTGTAGCTTCCTGATTTGGTATCGCATATGCCTCCGGCCACTTGGTGAAATAATCCATCACCACACAAATATATTTGTTTCCAGCACGAGTTTGGGGCAGAGGACCAGCAATGTCGACGGCTACTCTTTCCATTGGTGCACCAACTTGATATAACTTCATTGGAGCACGTCCCTTATGTTTGGGTCCCCTTTTAGCACAACATGTAGTGGAGCAGCTACAGTTGCAAAGTCCTTCACAAACTTGCGGTAGTAAGTACAGAGTCCCAAGAAACTTCTTAGCTCTCCC